TACTACCTGCATGTACATTGTATTGCATACCATGCTGATTGATGAGCCTCATTAGACATTTTTCCATTAACTAAATTAAATACTGAGGAATGATCAGCTATTTCTGCCCACTCTTGGCAGAGAGTATCTGAAAAAAATCCTGTTACCTCTGGAGTGTCCTCCCATGGAACTTGAAATAAGCTCTATATAATTTGATGGAACTTTTTTCTGCACAGACATGCATAGAATTGTGCTGGTACTGACAAAGTTTGGTTCTTAAAACAGATTTCTTGGGTCGCACCGAAGTTCCAGTAGCGAAAATCAGAACAGAGCAAGAAAACAAGGGTCCAACAACTAAACATTTACTATTGCATGAGGTACCAACAGGGGAAGTCTGGGTGCGCTTTGATCTCCAGTTATATGATCAGAAAACACTCATTTGAAGGAGGGGAATGGCTTGCAACAATAAGGTCTGACCAAAATTTGCTAAACTGTTTCAGTGGAATGGAAAGTGTATAAATTAATTACTTACCCCAGGGAGGTATCTGAGTGCACTTCTTGCTGCAAAAATACATCTGGTTAACTTGTACATTATTTCTTTCCTGTGTGTGCTTAACATTGGTGGCAATCTATGCAATGTAAAGTGGTCTATATATGTGATAATATAGTAATGGTGCCTTCCCTTACTGATATTGGACTTTTTGAATTCAGATGCAAATGTTTCTGCTTTCACATTGTTAAAAGTATTAGGAAGTTGGCATTTTGTAAAATGTTTTAAGTGTTTTCACACACATGCACACGTGTATGTATGCATACATATGTATATTTATGAGTACTAAGGAATTGTTTAACTCAGGGCTAGAAATTCATTTCATCTTCAGCTTGGAAACTACAACCTGATTGACTATCATCTCAGGGTATTAACTGTAAGGAAATAGATACAGTACTGAAATCTTATCATGTCAGCATCCTTTAAAGCAGAGGTCCCCAACCCCCGGTCTGCGGCCCAGTGCCGGTCCGTGGCCTGAGCCCAACTGGGCCGCGGAGACCTCCCACCCCACCCCCGCACACACCCTACCCACAGCCTGTTTGCGCCTGCATGAGCGCTGCGCCGCCCTTTGTGCATACACATGAGCACAGGGCGGTGCCCCACCTTCCCCAGCCAGTCCACAGGGCTGAAACGGTTGGGGACCACTGCTTTAAAGGATATATATATTTAAAATAACAGTACAGTAGTTCTTTATGTTGTTCTGTCCTATGAAATGGGCAGAGTAATATTTGCAAAACCTAACAGTTTCTGCCAGAAGTAAGGTAGAACAGGCATTTGCAGCTCCCCTGTCCCCATCATCTAAACTAAAGCAAATCCAAGACTGGTCTCAGCCTTCTCCGTTGCAAGTGTGAATTGGGACTGAGAAAGCATTAAAACTTCAGATGTCAAGTTTCACCTTCTATACTAAGACCACTCTTCTTTCATTTTTCTCTCCTCTCTGAAGTCAGTAGGGTGAAAACATGTAGGGAAAAATCCAAGATTGGATTCTCCCGTGATGCCTTTGGTCATACAGTGGTGCCTTGCAAGACGAACGCCTCGCAGGACGAAAAACCCTCAAGACAAATGTTTTTTGCTATCGCTGTGGTGCCTCGCAAGAAGGCTTCTTCTATGGCCATGCTTTGTAAGATGATTCCCCCCCCCCCAGGACCAATGCCTCGCAAGACAAAAATAATTCATTCGTCTTGCGAGGTTCCCATAGCATTCCCAATGCATTCCTATGGGAAACCACTTTTTGCAAGACAAAAATTTCGCAAGACAGCGCTACTCGCAGAACGAATTACTTTCGTCTTGCCAGGCACCACTGTACAAGGAAAAGGCCAATCTCTTTACCTCTGGCACCTGCAATACTGTCCTACAAATCACAGGACTACACCTTTAATTTATCTTTCTTCAGTTCTTTTAATAATTTTATGACCCATTTTGGTTATAAAAAGGAGTAATGCAAGAAGTGATTAGTTTTCAACAGGGTGATATGATCGATATCAATGTAAATGTCATACACATTATCTGTTTAATATGTATTTTAAAGGTACCTGGGTTTCCTGGCAGATTATTACTCCCATAAAGTCCCTATAAAATGTGCACCCTTTAGACTTACCATGAGCAAGGACTCTAAAGTGTTGAAAGTTAAATAGTTGTGCATATGTCTGTATTTGAAACAAATTTATTATTAATATAATTTGTGTACAGATCCATGTAGAGGCATATTGATGTTTCTATAACATACTTTATTGCACTGCTGAATATGAAATAATGAGAATATAGGAACTATAGCTAGGAAAAACAATCAAAATGTAAATCACATTTATTACTGGAATTACTTATAGAATGTATTTAAATTAAATATGCAACAAACCAGGTCTTCTTACAAGAAACAAAGCCCATCAGAAACTCCCAGGCAAAAACCTTGTGAAAAGACTTCGAGCCTTGCTCCTGTTCATTTAGCAACACCCTTGGCAAATCATATTAATTACTGAGGATTTTATAATGGTAACTGTGAATTGATTGATATGTGTATCTTTAACTTATGTTTCTGGTATTTTAAGTATAGCTTTTAATTTAAAGCAGTGAGTTGAGTTGTATTGCTCAGGTGCTATTTTGCCTAATAAGTTTAACCGAATTGCAAACAGTATGGGGGGAAATGTTTTCTGTACATCATTGTTTCTAATATTAAATATTAAAATACCTATTTCCCTCTTCATAAGAATGATACCCCACATTCTGTAAACTATGTATCACAGAATTTTCTGGACAAGACAACACAGTTTCATGTTTCATTCAGAATAAACACTCAGTATAGTTTTAAAGTTAATGAAACTACAAAATTTCTATAATGAGTAAAATAACAGAATTGCTTACATTTATAATAAAGGTTTTCCATTGTTACTGTTTTCATGTGATACAATTAATATTTCCAGTGTGTACATAGCAGCCAGTGTGTGTTTAACAAGCCACCTGTAAAAAAGTTTATTTTGTTGAGTACAAAGTTCTCTGCTCTTCCACTGGAACATTTGAGCTGTACTTGTTCCTATTTGGAGCAGGTGGCACTTCAGAAAAAGATCCGGTGGAAGACAGTGTTCATGAGCAGATCTAGTGTATCTATCCAAACTAGAATATTCATCTACAGTGGTGCCTCACACAGTGAGGTTAATACGTTCCGGATTAACCCTCGCTGTGTGAAAACATCGCTGTACGGATCAAAAAAAGCCATTGGAACACATTAAACTTAGTTTAATGCGTTCCAATAGCAGCTTTACTCACCGTACAGCGATGTTTCTCCAATGGCTGGCAGCCATTTTTGCCCCCTCCCCTCGCTTAACGAGGGCGCGAAAACGCTGCGCGTGGCCATTTTGGGGCTTCCGGCGGCCATTTTGAAGCCGCTGAACAGCTGATCGGCGGGTTGCAAAGCGAAGGTCGGTAAGCGAACCGCTTACCGACCTTCGCTCTGTGATTTTGAGCCATAGGGGCCGTTGGTGTGCGATCGCATTTGCAATCGCTAGAACGGCCCCGTTGTGCGGATTCGTCATTCTACTGTGCACTCGTTGTGCAAGGCACCACTGTATTTGTTTCAAGAATTTGTTGGGAGAGAAATGGCTGCCCACCGAAGTGCGTAGTAAACAAAACACAGTCATCATAGTTCTTCATTATTAAAAAGACCCACAGGATGATTCCATGGTTCATTCTTAACATGGTACACAGTATCCGTCTTTATATTTGCTCCTTCCTAAATATTTCCCAGACATCTAGAATGTATGCTGATTCTTCTAGCATGCTTATACTAATTGGACCCTACCTGTCACTGCTTGAGCAATGGTATCAATCACATCACCTCAAGGCCCTACTGCTAACAATTGACCAAGAAATAGATAAGACACATAAAAGGCTAAAGCATTCATCCAGGCAGAGAGTTGTAAGTAGATTTACTTCCTCCTCTGGGAAGTGGAAAACTCCCAACAACAGCATGATACCAAACAAGTGGCTTGGACATTTATTGCCATTTATTTAAAAAAAATTAGCTGCTGTCTTAGCATTTCTAAGAGATAAGATAAATGTCCTCTGGGGGTCTTTGTCCTCAATAACTACATAAACAGTTAACATACGAGAAACTTTTTTTCATCTTATGAAGCTGGTGTTTTCCTGTATCAAATACAGTACTCTTATAGAAAAGACATCACTGTGTGATTGAAGGAAATGAAAACTAACTGGGTGACTCTTCTATCCAAGCCCCATTTTGAAGTGGGATTTAAATTAGAGGAAACTTTATTTTCAGGCATAAGCAACTTCTTTAAGATGTTTTTAATGTGTATAAATTATGCCCATGCTATTTACACACTGGGAGTATTCTTTGCTGCTGTATTATGGCCAGGGCCAATAAACCATAGAAAGGTTAAAAAAGAAATTACACTGTGTTTGTTTAGAGATTCCTTCAACATGGATAGGGCTGAACACATACCATACGTATGAACTAACAAAAAAGTGGTGACCCATCGTTCAAGCAGAGAGAGAGAGAGAGAGAGAGAGAGATTCACATGTTCAGATCATGGGCCTTTGGCAACTTAACAGAAAGTGACTCATCGTCAGCTTGTGAGTTCACCCTACTGCAACAGACTGTGAAATTTATAGAAATCCACAAAATATTTTGCCCGTGTGTCCCTGAAATATTATGCAGCAGAAAACAATAGTGTGTATTTGATGCACAAGGAAACACAGGGCATATATTTAACAGAAATTTTCGAATATTCAGTACATATAACCTGTGATTCCCACACAGTATATGAGAATCTGAAGCTGAACTTTTACAAATATCCTTTGGAGTTTTTCCACGTCTTGTACTACACTGTTCTTAACTGTATCTGATTGATTCAACACATTAAGACCAATAGTTATTTTAAAAATATTTGTTGTAAGTAGCAAAGATGATCCATGTAGCTTTCGCTTTGAATCTTGAATAAGGAATCAGTTCATATCTATATCATTAGGAAGCAAATTTTATTGCTGGTTTACAAACTGATGAGCCAGTTCGTGTTTTCTTCAAAAAACTGGGCAGACAGACAAAATCTTGTTTTCTGGCAGAGGTGCATCTCTTGTTTGGTTGAAGCAAGGATGAGTCATTCCAGTTCTTGAAGTCCATAGAACTCATGTTTCTAGTTGGGACCATTTTTTGCCTAGACAGAATGATTAACACTGTTTACAAATATCAGGTATCAATACTCTATGATCCCATGAATGCTAATATCTATTTTACCATTTATATAATGTACTGGGCTGATGCTATTTGATACTGCAAAAAAGAAGCAACAACTGGCCAATATTATACACTTCCTTTAATTTTGAATTCTATATAAATAAAAACCTTATTCATTCTTTTATTGACAGATTGGGGAACAATATAAAATGTGTGTCAAGAAGCGATATAATGTATGCCTTAACTGTTGTTTGAATAACACAAATAATCTGCAGTGCGAAACTTCCTCCTTTTGAGGCTTTAAAATGTGGGCAGAAGGCATGGAATAAAGCCCAGGCAAATCCCTGCTCTGGATTACGTTTTTCTCAGCGCTCTTGGCTCTCCTAGTCCATACTGAGAGTAACCAGACATGTAACTTGAATTGTTTCAATTTCCTGCTCCATTTATACTGATATATATTTATGTATAGTCATATGGTACTAATTCACTGGGAACGTTCACATGGCAGTCTTTTCTTTTTGATACATTTCTTGAACTTTTGTAGGTTACACATGCTTATCCAACAAAAGTGACCCATTTTCCATTGTGTCAGCAGCACACTTCTCAAAATTTACTTTATTTTACTGTTATTATTTTGTTAATGATATATTGCTACAGCAGCATCTGAATTTGTGTGAAAAACTATAGAAGCTAATACTGACACAGTTTCTCTTGGCAGTTCTTCAGTTTTAGGGCATTTTAGTTTCTCAAAGGACACTTGGTGGGAGATGCTTCTCCATGATAACAAAGGAAGAGATGACTGGGGGTGAATGTTACATAAATGTGCATCAGTAAACTCTTGGCGGAGAGAGTGTTGTAGGGAAGCTGCTTGCCCATGTTGTGCTGAAGAGGCTCCAGGTGCTTGCAGACAGAGTCTATCCAGAATCAGTGTGGATTTTGAGTGAATAGATCCACCACTGACATGGTAATCTCCCTCAGACAGTTGCAGGAGAAATGCAGGGAACAACAGCAGTCACTCTTTGTGGCCTTCATAGATCTCACAAAGGCCTTTGATTTGGTTAACAAGGATGGCCTTTTTAAAATACTTCCCAAGATTGGATGTCCACCTCATCTCCTTAACATCATCAGATCCTTTCATGAGAGAATGAAGGACACTGTAGTTTTTGATGGCTCAACATCAGATCCCTTTGACATCTGAAGCAGAGTGAAACAGGGGTTGTCCTCGCACCAACCCCTTTTGGGATCGTTTTTGCTGTCATGCTGAAGCATGCCTTTGGAACTGCAACAGGAGGTGTCTATCTCCAGACTAGATCAGACGGAAAGCTCTTTAACCTCTCTAGATTGAGAGTGAAGACCAAAGCGCAGCTGAAATGCATGCAGGATTTCCTGTTCGCTGATGATGCAGCCATTGTTGCCCACTCTGCTGAAGACCTCCAGCAACTCATGAATCGTTTTAGCAAGGCCTGCCAAGATTTTGGACTAACAATCAGCCTGAAGAAAACACAAGTCATGGGCCAGGGCATGGACTCACCTCCCTCTATTACCGTCTCCACACAAGAATTGGAGGTTGTTCGTGACTTTGTGTACCTTGGCTCAACGATCTCTGACACTCTCTCCCTAGATGTTGAGCTGGATAAACGCACTGGCAAAGCAGCTACCATGTTCTCTAGACTCAAATAGAGTATGGCTCAATAAGAAGCTGATGGCATACACGAAGATCAGGAGTGTGCTCAGGACACAGGTCTATAGAGCCGGTGTCCTGAGCACACGTCTGTACTGCAGTGAGTCCTGGACCCTTTGCGCACGGCAGGAGAGGAAGCTGAACACCTTCCATATGTGTTGCCTCCGGCACATTTTTTTTTGTATCACCTAGCAGGACAAAGTTCCAAATAGAGTAGTCCTAGAACAAGCTGGAATTTTTAGCATGTATACATTACTGAAACAGCTATGTCTATGTTGGCTTGGGCATGTTGTGAGAATGGCTGATGGTTGGATTCGAAAAGATCTCCTGTATGGAGAATGAGTGCAGGGAAATCACCCCAGAGGGAGACCACAGCTGCGATACAATATATCTGCAAGCAGGATCTGAAGGCCTTAGAAATGGACCTCAACAGATAGGAAACCCTGACATCTGAGTATTCAGCCTGGAGGCAGGCGTTGCATCACGGCCTCTCCCAATTTGAAGATGCTTGTCCAGCAGGCCGAGGCAAAGAGGCAGTCATGAAAGCAGCAAAATCAGGGAGCTGGACAGGACAGATTGTATTTGTCTTCAGTGTGGAAGGCATTGTCACTCTCAAATTGGCCTTCTCAGCCACACTAGATGCTGTTCCAAGTCCTCCATACAGACCACGTTACCATAGTCTTTCGAGACTGAATGATGCCCAATCTAATCTGCAAAAGGTACTTCAAAGTTACTTTACTGGGTAACTGAGGTAATCTATTCTCCAGGCAGGAAACAGCTGACTCTGTGTGGCTAACACTTCAATGGGGATAGCTTCAGCTTGTGAACTGCCGTAACTTCCCCTATTGCATAGCAAATGGCACTGTGTTCCTGGATCTCTGATTTTCTAATAACACATCTGTGTGTGACTGACTTTATAACTTTTTATGGCTTATCCCATCCGGTTCACCAAACATACCACCACCACCCCTTTTTCCTGCTGGTTGCATAAGGGGGAATTCACAAGTTCTTTGGCTACTGGCTTGAAGCACTGGATAGAGCAGTGGTCCCCAACCTTGGGCCTCCAGATGTTCTTGGACTACAACTCACAGAAGGCTTCACCACCACCTCTTCTGGCCAGGATTTCTGGGAGTTGAAGTCCAAGAACATCTGGAGGCCCAAGGCTGGGGATCACTGGGATAGAGCACTATGCCTGTAGAAACTGCTGAGCCACTTGCTCTACAGTGGTTAAGAGAAATTTGTCCATATACTTCATGAAAACCACCTGAAGAGATCCCATTCTTCCATTCTCCCCCCTTACAAACTAGCACACTTCTAAAACAACAAACAAACAAACCAGCTTCAGTGTGGCAGAAAAAGATAAAATTAAGGGGATATGAGATCTGTACAGGAATTAATTGAATATTGACAAAAATATGATAATAAAGAACACAGCAGAAGCTCAAAATTGTAAATTTTGTGACAAAAATTGTGAAAAATGTGATTTGGGGAAAAGAGAGCATTAACAGGATTTAAAACTATAACTAGAAAATTGTAACATGAATTTATAGATGAAGACAAGTAACTATAGATCAGTATGCCAAATAAAACCTTCAGTTTCAAGGGGGTGGATTCAAATTAATGGCAAGGTAGTTCCAGTGCTCTTGCAACTTTGCATTAATGCTCTCCCTGAAATACTATTTGGGCTGTCCTCTATCAGCTTCCGGTGGGACACGGTGGCGCTGCAGGTTAAACCACAGAAGCCTCTGTGCTGCAAGGTCAGAAGACTTGCAGTTGTAAGATCAAATCCACGCAATGGAGTGAGCTCCCGTCACTTGTCCCAGCTCCTGCCAACCTAGCAGTTCAAAAGCAGGCAAATGCAAGTAGATAAATAGGGACCACCTCGGTGGGAAGGTAACAGCATTCCGTTTCTAGTCCAGCTGGCTACGTGACCACAGAAGTTGTCTATGGGCAAACACTGGCTCTACAGCTTGGAGACAGGGGTGAGCACCACGCCCTAGAGTCCGACACGACTGGACTAAATGTCAAGGGGAACCTTTACCTTGTCAGCTTCCATAGGTACAAATAAATAGGTAATACAATAACTAGTAAACTAACAAGAAGTTGCTAGTCAGATTCTGGTTAATGCTGATTTTTGTCTACTCAGTACAGGTTTGTACAATTATTGCCTTGGGCAACAGAGATTTTAGATGACACAAAGCACCACAATACAAGATTTTCTATACCAAGTGGTAACAGTGCCACGGAAGGAATATAGGGCAGATCTATACAACCTCCCATGTAAGGGAAATGAAATAAATATTTTTATAAAGACATAAAAATATTACCGGCTCTTCTGACGAATCTCGCTTTCCATATACCCAGGAGGAATTTTTAGCCACTCAACTGGATTCATCAGCTGCCGACTCAAAGGAAGCAATGGCAGTTCAACCTTCTGGAGTTCATTAATCTCTTTGGAGGAGTATATTTTCCCTGTAAGAAGTTGTAAACACATACAAAATGTTGCCAGATGTTGGTGTGACCACTATGGAGAGAAAGACAAGGCAGTATTTTGGCCAACAGCCACACCTCTTGTGTGATGGATATCTCCTTGATGTGGACATGTCACTTTGAAACATTTTGGGAAGTGACTATATTAACTAATTCCCTTACCCCCTAACCCTCAGAACCAGTAAGGCTATCCTGTAATCTTGATGGAGGAAGAAAGGGAAGGCTCTGGAAGGGCTCTTACTGAAGATCAACAGACTATCAGACAAATAAGCCTGAGATAGACTCTGTCAAGGTTAGGCAGGAAGGACAGGAAAAGGGAACAAATTAAAACATATTTGAATTCAATGATTTTAATTCCCCCAGTTGGCAGCAAAAACCATAAATAACTTTTGTTTGCAAGCAAAAATAAAGAGCATGTTTTGCCTTTTAGCAAAATGCCTTTTAGCAATTCCTGTAAAGTACTATGATGTTTGTTTTCAAATCAGTACTCAAATGCAGGGTTATTTACACCAAAGATATGGTTCTAAAAGCAGACACTGGTACAACATGAAAAGAAAAGCAGAGGGAAAATAAACAGAATAGAAAAATAGTGAATATTTTATTTCAAATAGTGAATGTTTTATTTATTAAAATGGTCACAGCTATCGTGGTTGGCTAATGTTAAATGTACAGTGGTGCCCCACTTGACAACGGCCCTGTTAGACAACGAAATCGCTTTACAATGACTTTTTTGCGATCACTATAGCGACTGCAAAATGAGGTTTCTATGGGTATTTTTCGCTTTACATTGTTTCGGTCGCTGCTTCGGGAACCGTTTTTTCGCTGGACGACAATTAAAAACAGCTGATTGGCAGTTCCCAAAATGGCTCCCCGCTGTTTTCCGGACCTATTTTCGCAACACAGGGATCGTAAAATGGCCGCCCTATGGAGGATCGTCGCTGGACGATCAGGTATTTCCCCCATTGGAACACAATAACTAGTTTTCAATGCATTCCAATTGTATTTTTTTACTTGAAGACAATTTCGCTTAATAGCGATTTTCCTGGAACAGATTATCGTCATCAAGCGGGGCACCACTGTATATATTTTAGAACTAATGCTCACAAGCAACTTGTGATAACACAGAGGCTTATGGCAGAAAGAGATAAAACCTCAGCCGAGGACTGAAGAAAAATAATACAAATTGTGGAGGAAGGAGAACGAAGGAATTTTAGTCACTGTATAGTGACTAAAGGTGAGCAATATATTCCATCTAGAGAAAATATATTACCCTTATTGGTGTGTGCTTAATCATATACTTAAGGTTGCTCGGTAAATGTTACAAGAAATAGTCATGTTCCTTTTATTAAATAAACATGGATAGAATTTTCTACTTTTGACACATTAATCTCTTCAAACATATACATGTCAAATATAAAATCTCCCAATAAAAGAAAAATTGAAATATATGAGAAAGTTTTGCACAAGTCATTCTTATTAAAAAGTATAACTGAATAACCAGGTGCAATCAATTATCTGGGTTCCAAACTGGAAAAAATATTTCTTGAGAAGGGCATTGTTAGCTGTGGAGAATTTGCAGACTCCCCAAATCTTTGAAGTCCAATTTAAATATTTATTTATTTTATTTATTTAATTTATATGTCACCCACTCTACCCAGAGGACTGGGTAGGATCCAAGTATGAGTTGATTTGATGATCCTAAATCTGACACTCCATAGGAGATAATAAGTGTTATGAACATGGTGAGAATTTCTATGACTTAAAAATGACAGAAATATACAAGTATTCATGACCTTGAAATGTTTAAATATGACTAATTAAACCAAAAATGAGTTTAAAATTTTGCTGAAATTAGCACCCAAATTTTGAAAAATCTGTGCATATACACACACATTAAAAGGTGCAATTCTTCACTTCCAGTGCAGAAGTGCTAGTATTGAAGGAATCAAATGAACAAGAGTAAAACCGTCATATCTGGGTTAGTTTATGTCAACAGCAGAATTGCTTTGGATGATCAAGTGCATCTTGAAGTTATCAAAATAAAAATTCCTTCTGTTGTCCATCAGTATGTTCTTTTATCTGGAGAAACTCTGTTCGACATCAAAAGAGGTCATAGGAACAAATTTGAAAAAAGCTAGCCTGTCTGGAGACAATTCTGGCACAAAGCCAACAAATTTTACTTCGGGCTCTGTTCTGAAGGTTATTCTTCCTGACGTTTCGCCAGTTTCTGTGGCCGGCATCTTCAGAGGACTGGAGTAGGAACTCTGTCCATGCTCTGTTGGTGCTTGTTGGGTAGTATTACAGCTGTGGAAATGGCTTTTGTCTTTTTTCAGGAGATAGGGTGATCAGCATGTTTTTCTTGTGATGAGGGGGGAGAGGGAGAGATTATCTGTCACTGTGATTGATGGGTGTCATTAGCTGGTCTTTTTTTGTGCAATGATCTCTGGCCCTTGTGGCTGGGGAAGTTTGTTGACCTTTTGCAAGTTGTATTTTTCAGAATGGGGTGCCAGGCCGTGTTTAGTTTCAGGCCTTCTTTCCTGTTGAAGTTTTGTTTATGGATTTCAATGGCTTCCCTGTGCAGTCTAATATAACAGATTGCTGGTGTTGTCCAGTACTTCAGTATTTTGAAATAGAATTTCATGTCCAGCTTGTTTTAGGGCATGTTCAGCTACTGCTGATTTTTCTGGTTGTATTAATCTGCAGTCTCTCTCATGCTCCCTAAACTCTGGAACCAAACACCATAATTTTACACTCACTAAATACAGTGGTGCCTCGCATTACAATGTTAATTCGTTCCAGCAAAATCGCTGTAGAACAAAAACAGCGTAAAGCAAAATTTAAAAGCCCATAGAAACGCATTAAAACCTGTTTAATGCGTTCCGATGGGCTTAAAACTCACAGTCCAGCGAAGATCATCCATAGGGCGGCCATTTTCGCTGCCTGTCCTGCGAGGAATCCATCCCTAAACACAGCGGGGAGCCATTTTATTTACCCAGTGGCCATTTTGAAACTGCCGATCAGCTGTTGGGAAATTGTTGTTTTGCGAAGAATCGGTTCCCGAAGCAGGGAACCAATCATCGCAAAGTGAAATTCCCTCATAGGAAACATCATTTTGCAATTGCAAAAGCGATCGCAAAAAGTTCATCGTAATGCAATTTCGCTGTTAAACGAAGTGATCGTAATGCAAGGCACCACTGTATCTAGTTTTAGGCATAATGAAATCATTAACAGTGTTGCTGACAACCCAAAAATGACCAAAATATAACATTACAAAATTAAGCAGAAATAGACATGTGAAAAAGAAAGTACACTCCCTTTCAGTTCTATGATTTTATGTATCAGGACATAATAAAAACCATCTGGTCCTTAGCAGGTCTGAAAATTAGGTAAATACAATCTCAGATTAACAACTAACCAAATGCCCTTGAAAAACTGATCATCAGCAAGGGTGGTCATCTGTATAAAAGCCAAGATTTTAGCAGTTTGCTGGTCTGGAGCATTCAGGTGTGTGTTAACACAATGCCAAGGAGGAAACATATCAGCAATGATCATAGAGAAGCAATTGTTGCTGCCTGTAAATCTGGGAAGGGTTATAAGGCCAATTTCAAACAATTTAAAGTCCATCAATCTACAGTGAAGAGGATGATTCACAAGTGGGAAACATTCTTCGCAGGAGAGGACATCCAAGAAAATTCACCCCAAGGTCAGACTATGCAATGCTCAGAGAAATTGCAAAACAAACAAACAAACAACAAACAAACAAAACACCAAGAGTTACATCTCAGACTCTACAGGTCTCAGCATGTTAAATGTTCAAGTTCATGATGGTATAATTAGAAAAAGAGTGGAAAAGTATGGTTTGTTTGGAAGGATTGCTAGGAGAAAACCTCTTCTCTCTAAAAAGAAGCAAGGGTTAGGTTTGCCAAGTTGCATCTGGACAAACCACAAGACTTCTGGAACAAGGTTCTTTGGACAGACAAGACCAAAGTGGACATGGTGCCATATTTAGCGGAAAGCAAACATAGCATATCAACGCACCTCATCCCAATTGTCAAGCACAGTGGTGGAGGAGTGATGATATGGGCTTGTTTTGCAGCCAGAGGACCTGGGTACCTTGAAGTCATTGAGTCAACCATGAACTCCTCTGTATACCAAAGTATTCTAGCGTCAAATGTGAGGCCATCTGTTCGACAGCCAAAGCTATAATTAATGGGTCTTTCCTTGAGGGCAGATTTCCATCCGCCCTGAAGGACACACTCATTAGGCCCATTAGGAAGAAACCCAGTTTGGCGGCGGATGAAACTGGCAACTATAGCAAGGTGATCAAGAGGGTGGTGGCCGATCAGCTTCAGGCGCTCCTGGATGAAACAGATGCCCTGGATCCATTTCAGTCGGGCTTCAGGCCGCGCCACAGGACAGAGACAGCATTGGTCGCCCTGTGTGATGACCTACTGAGGGAGACCGACAGGGGCAAAGTGTCTCTGCTGGTTCTCCTCGATATCTCAGCGGCCTTTGATACCATTGACCACGGTATCCTCCTGGGGAGGCTCTCCGAGTTGGGAATAGGTGGCTTGGCATTGGCCTGGCTCCGTTCCTTCTTGGAGGACCGCCCCCAGAGTGTACAGCTTGGGGAGAGGGTCTCGGCCCCGTGGTGTCCCAATCGCGGGGTTCCACAGGGGTCGATTATCTCCCCAATGCTGTTCAACATCTATATGAGGCCGCTGGGTGGGGTCATCAGGGGGTGTGGAGCCCGGTGTCACCAGTACGCTGATGACACTCAGCTCTACATCTCTTTTCCACCTACCGCAGGAGATGCCGTCCTGTCCCTCCAGCGCTGCCTGGGGACTGTACTGCAATGGATGCAGGAGAAC